ATGTAAGCTGGCCATACATTGTGTGAACTTTGGCCACTTCCTGATGAACCGGCCAAAATCAACTTAATGGGTGGCCATGTCAGCTTCCTTAGATTGATAAATTGAAGGAGCCAGGCAAAAAATCATTGGCCAAACAGCAGCTGCATCCAATCAAATGCAACTGCTGTTCGACTAATCTGACTGTCGGTGCTGGCTGTCAGAATACAATAGAGCAGCAGGGGATTCATCCATCCATGTTGTATAGCATTTTTTCATGCAGGCTGAGTGAACAAAATCCAAGCTTGTATGGCCAGCTTTTCCCCCTTCTTAATGAATGATTGATAATGTTTATGACCAGTTGCTGCACAACTCCAAGGAGGGAAAGAACAGGTCTTTTAAAAACTTCTTCATGCTCCTATGAAAACAATTGAGGAAAGTGGAAAGATAGCAGTTGTAAAATATTTGTTGGTCCTCATAGAGAAAAATTTGGATACCCCTGGCTTGAGCCTTTGGGACCCTGGGGTTGTATTTTCATATCTAAACTAAGTCCTGTAGGATTCAGGAAAGTTGGGGAAATATTGATTAAGTCTTAATGCAGACAAGAGACAAGTGCTTAAATGGAGGCCTTTCTTTTTTTTTTTTATAGGACTCATAAGTATACTTCCAAAACTATGCCCGATATACATATATGGATGTAACCTGACTAGAAAAAAAAGTCTATTCTATTATAAGGAACATTTCTAACAGAAGTGCATAACGTCAGGAAATTCTGCTTTATGACCGCACTCGAGTGTATTGATATTTATATTCTGTATTAATTTAGTGAAAGTGTTTTGGCAGATCCTGTTAGAATGGTAGAGGGGTCAGTGACCTTACTGTGAGAGTCTATTTCTACAGATACTACATTCAAACTAAAATAGATTGAACTTGCCAGATATATTGTTTTGTTTAACCTCTACTATGGCTGTCATTGTGCAGTTGACAAATAAGACAGAGTCTCTGGGGATCTAATACTGGTTTTCAACTTGTTGTGTCAACTAATGGAGAACAACAGGCCTTGTTGCCAAGAATAATGACACTGCAGCAAGCGTAGAGATCTTGCTCCTTCTCTTTTCATAATATAACACAAGAGGTTGAGAGTGAAACTGGAAATATTGAACAAGGCAATGGTACATTATATGAGTAGCAATATGAAAGAAACGCTAAAATAGTTAAATATAAGTTTTGCACATGGAAAGATCTACAATGGACACAGATGAAAAATTCTTTAGAACACAGCAACATATTTAAAATAAAATAATGTATAGAAAATATGCTGATTTCAAGCACTGCTCGCAGAAGTCAGAATTTCTATACCTCTTTCGAGCAACTTTTTTCATCCAGATGATCACAGCACAGTGCTATCTGGAATCTCACACTTTTACAAGTTTCACCATGAATAATTAATGTAAATCCGATAACAAAATTTGAATGTATTGCAGTTCTAAGGTGTGTTGGCTGCATTTGTTTTCTTAGTTTCTTTTTAGTTTCTTTTTTTCATCTTGTGATCCTGCCAAGAACACATTTCCTGTCCTAGGCTGACAATGCTCACTCTCCGCACTGTATCTATGGAGTAGCAGCATTGTAGCCCTAGGACAGGACTATAGCACATACTTTTTTTTTTGTAGTATAAACATTTTTGCTCACAAGATTTCTGGCCAGATTAACAGTTTTATTTTGCACATTTTAATACATATACCATAATGCTTTAATATTTTAACCACTTGCTGACCATGCTATAGCCAAGAGATATCTCCAGCATGGCTCTCCAGTTCTGGGAGGACATCCATGGACATCTTCCCACATGCACGCCTCCCATATGCCCCCCTGGGGCGTGCATTGGGAGCTCTCTGTGACTGCTGTGATTTTAGACACAGCTGATCACAGATCACGGTAAAGGGCCAATCAGAGCGGCCCTTTACAGTGTGATCATCTGTGTCCAACCACAGCTGGTCACATCAAAAAGACTTGCCAGTTATCGGAATTTCTTTTCCTGTTTGAGGAAAGAGGAGCCGATAATCGGCCAGTCTGACAGTACATTGTTTACACATCCCCACATCAGTGCCAATCAGTGCAGTTTATCAGTGCCCATCAGTATCGCCTCATCAATGCCCATTAGTGTCCATCAGTTCACATTGGTTTTCGTCTGCATGCCAGTAAGAGCATGTCCTGTTGCAGTAGAGTAATAGGCCACAAACTTAAAATTAGCAGTAGCTCTGATTTTCCTATTTTTTTTTTCTGAGTAACAATTTACAGGCATTAATGAGAGTTTCCCCATTATATGAGCCATTTGTTAGCAGGTTTATAGAAACAGAAATCCCATATATAATTACATATTAAGTGAATTAGTAATGGCTCTTTTATTTTCTGAACCCCAAAACTCAAACTGGAGTCCCCAAATTCCAGTTTGCAAGGTTTTAAATCCCAAGTGAAAAGTAAAGACCAGCACTGGTCCTTGGGCTTGTAAATCATCTTTATTAGACACCTGGGTAAAAGTCACAGATGCAACAGAGCTGACATGTTCCAGCGACTAATGACCTCATACTTTTTTTGGACACACAGGGCATACAGGAGCCCTTACCACAGTATCACCTACTGCACTCAGATATTAGGTTGGGCTAGGGTGAGCGCAGTGAGTTCTTTTTATGGTAAATCCCAAGAATTTCTATACGTACGACTTTCAATGGTGAATTAGAGTAGGGAAAGCAAAGCACATTCTAAGGTCTGTATTAAATAAAGAATTATGAACATTCTAAAACTAGAATTGACCAATGAGTGGTACTTTTGTAGGTCAAAATAATAACTGTTAAGATGATACTTTAAAGGGATTTGCAAAGGTTGAGGTTTTTTTTTTTTTTTTTAACTTCAAGCATTTTATGCATGAAGGTAAAAATCTTTCATGTGCAGCCCCCCCCCCAATACTCACCTGAGCCCCCTCTATATCTAGCGATGTGCTGTCCTGAGCCCCCTCTGCCATCAGTCACAGCTGGTAAGGAAAGAACTGGGGGGAAGGCCAAAACACCGCTTTGTGTCTTATGGATACATAGAGCTGGGCTTGGGAGCGAGCACTCAACAGTGCCCAAGCAGCTTGCTATTAGGGTCACTGGTGAAGGGGGAGAAGCCAGGAGTTCCAGTGGTGGACTTGGGAAGAGGAGGATCGGGGCTGCTCTGTGCAAAATTATTGCACAGAGCATCTAAGTATGACATGTTTGTTATTTAAAAAAAGGAAAACTTTAATATTTTAAGTGTATATAAACCCCCAGTTTCACAATCCTTAAATATGGAGGTTGAATTTGTTTTATTTTTCAGCCTTTTTTTTCCCTTAATGTTGATTTGGTGATCCTGCCAAGATGTCTATCAAAAGTGGCAATTAGAGGGTTGAGACAAACCATTTAACACTGACTGTAGTGCTTTATTCATTTAGTTAAAACCTTTATCAAAAAGGGAGAAAAACTATTTCTATAATTGGTTACAGAGAAACTAAACTGTATCTGAGTACCACAAATTAAAAATGTTATGTAATTAATTTTGTTTGAAAGCAAACTCACCCATCCATTCATATCTTTTTTTTTTTTGAGAAATCATTTTGAAAAGCACACCTTAGCATTTCTAGCCTTGGTCCTCTTGAGTAAGGGCAGATGATTCATATACTTCCTGAAATCTATCTTCCCTTTGCTCATGAATGAAGGCAGGAGGGTGTGCTGAGTAAATCCCTCCTTCAGATGAAGGAAAAAATGGCTATTAAGACTCCTGGGAACTATGACATCATTTTGGCCGAGGCCAGAAACCAGGGAGAAAATGAAGAATGTAAAAAAAAAACTTAAAACAAGCAAATATAATATACCTTTTTATATTTATGTACTAATGCTACCAATATAAGGACTAAAATTATGTAATGTTGATTGAGTAAGTTTACTACAGCTTTAAAGGATGCGTTGGCATTAATTTCTTAGCCACTTAAGAAAAGCCCATCTAAATCTAAAAAAATAAAAGAAAAAAGGACAGAGGACGGAAAACTAAATCTGTCACCACATTTAAGGATTAGTAAACTGCAACATTTTTGTTTTGGGTTGATATACGCTTTAATATAGCTAGCTTACTGTACCTAAGGTTAAAATCAGCAAATGGGGAAAAAGTTACTGTGTCTTTACATTGTAATGTACAGTACAGTTAATAAAGGTTTTACCAAACTTTTTTTTTTTTTTTTGACCGTTGAAGTTCTATTCAGTGGTTTAGCATAACATAATATAACATAACACAACAGTGATTAGTGATTATCCCAGTGCATTGAAGCAGCAATCCCATTATGTGGAGATACTTATAATATTCCTTGCGTCCTGGTGATTTTTCACTGATCAGCACGGTGGCTTTGAACTTGACCTTGCAGCAGGATGGGTTTCCTGTGTGTTAGAAGATTGTTTATTATGGGAGAGTCTGTGATATATGTCAAACTGTCAGCACAGATAGAACATTTGGGAAATAGAATACAAGGCAGCCATGGACTGTCTTTCATACTTAATAGAATGCAAACCTACTTAAACTTGCTATATGCCGACAAATGTCTTTCCTTCCTGCTAGAGCACCCTATTGTGTGAAAAACACATAATAATGGATGATGTGGAAATGGGTGCTATATGACATTTTAACTTGTACCTCCTCTCATCACAACAGAAAACTGTTTACAAGAATTTTCCACTTCATGCATCTTCAAAAAAACATAAAAAGAAAGCATGTAGTGTAGTAATTTTATAAAACATGAAAATAAATGCACTCACAGTAAAGTTACATAATGGGGTATATATTGTGTGTGAGTATGTATATATATATATATATATAATTATTATATATATATATATATGTGTGTGTATATATAAACACACACACTATATTGCCAAAAGTATTGGGACACCCCTCCAAATCATTTGATTTAGGTGTTCCAATCACCTCCATGGCCACAGATGTATAAAATCAAGCACCTAGATATTCAGACTGCTTCTATAAACATTTGTGAAAGAATGGGTTGCTCTTAGGTGCTTAGTGAATTAGAGCGTGGTACCGTGATAGGTTGCCACATGTGCAATGAGTCCATCTGTGAAATGTCCTTGCTACTAAATATTATACGGTCAACTGTTAGTGGTATTATAACAAAGTGGAAGCAACTCAGCCACCAAGTGGTAGGCCACGTAAAATGACAGAGCAGGGTCAGTGCATGCTGAAGTGCACAGTGCGCAGAAGTCACCAACTGTCTGCAGAGTCAATAGCTAAAGACCTCCAAACTCCATGTGGCCTTCAGATTAGCACAACAGTGAATAGAGAACTTCATGGAATGAATTTCCATGGCCAAGCAGCTGCATCCAAGCCTTACATCACCAAGTGCAATGCAAAGCATCAAATGTAGTGGTGTTGGCACGTACCTGATAGAAGTCTGAATTGACGAGGTCAGCCTCTCTTGTATCTCCAACCCAGGACCCACTGAAGGTGGAACAGATGGTGCAGAGGGACAGGAGAAACATGAGTGCCTGAGGGTATTGATTGTCGAACTTGCTGCTGGTGGTGTAGCTTTGGTGAATCAAGCAGGGCAGCCAGTCAGGAACAGAGGAGATGAAGGTCAGCACTGACAGAGAGCAAGAGCCTCCTTTAAATAGTCCATCTGGTGCCAGAAACTGTGGCCACGCTCCCGTGTGCGCGTTCCTGTGTGAATGCGCGAGCCTACGCTCATTTCTGTTAGCAATGTACCTGAGCTCATTTCTATGCGCGATATTGCACTCATGCACATTTCTATGTGCCAGTCGCTGTATAGGAATTCCCTTACAGGTGTAAAGCACGCCGCCACTGGACCCTAAAGCAGTGGAGACGTGTTCTCTGAAGTGATGAATCCCCTTCTGTCTTGCAATCCGATGGACGTGTTTGGGTTTGTCAGTTGCCAAGAGAGCAGTATTTGCCTGACTGCATTGTGCCAAGTGTAAAGTTTGGTGGGGGGGGGGTATGGTGTGGGGCTTATTTTCTGGGGCTGGGCTTGGCCCCTTAGTTTCAGTGAAGGGAACTCTTAAGGCGTCAGCATACCAAGATATTTGGACAATATTCATGCTCCCAACTTTGTGGGAACAGTTTGGGGATGGCCCCTTCCTGTTCCAACATGACTGCGCACCAGATCACAAAGCAAGGTCCATAAAGACATGGATGAGAGAGCTTGAGGTGGAAGAACTTGACTGGTCTGCACAGAGTCCTGACCTCAACCTTATAGAACACCTTTGGAATGAATTAGAGCGGAGACTGCGAGCCAGGGCTTCTCATCTGACATCAGTGCCTGACCTCACAAATGCGCTTCTGGAAGAATGGTCAAACATTCCCATAGACACACTCCTAAACCTTGTGACAATGGGTGCTGAAGTGTCCTGCAGGGTCTATTGATGCTGGCTGCTGAGGGATCTATTGTCTCTGGAGGGGATCTATGTTTGTGCGGGGGGGATATTGCTGGTGAGGGATCTACTGTTGCTGGAGGTGGGTCTCATGTTGCTGGGGAGGGGGTCAATTGCTGTTGGGATGGATCTACTGTTGAGGGAGGGGTCTATTGTTGCTGGTTGCAGGGAGATCTGTTGCTGCTGCCAGGGGACTATTGTTGCTAAAGGGTATTTTGTTGTGGGTGGTCCATTGTTGCTATTGGGTCTATTGTTGCTGGCTGTGGGAGAACTATTTTATAATAAATAAATAATAAGTGCAGCGCTAAATAAACAGTGAATAAGACTTTTAAAGTTCATAAAAATTCATGAATAGTAAAATGACAATAGAAATACAGGATCCCAACTTCAGCAGAACTCAGATGCTTGTGCTTGGAAGTTATAGTAAAATTGCACACTCTCCGGATGCGCATAGAATAGGCCAGGCGTATGGTACACTTCCTTCTAGGTAAGGAACAGCACAGCAGAATTTCTTGGGCTGGATAAAAGAGCTGCTGATCCAGAGGTCACCTTTAAGGATGGATGGGTCTGCAGCCTGTGTTACAGGGATTCCTCTGGGTGCTTGGATAAGCCAGGATCGTGAGCAGGTTCTGTAATTTAATAGCTACATAAAGGAGCCACACAAAAGGTGCCCATAGTGTAGTAATTCAAAGATTGTATTCCAGGGAAATAGTATAAAATGTAGGGTAAATAAAATAACATAGCAGTATTGCAGAGTGAACGCAGCACTGACCAAGGATAAAGATGGCTGCCGGACCTTCCCGAGGCTGCAGGCGGCGTGACGTCACGGCGTGTTGGCTCCTCCTAAAGCTTTTCGTGCCACGGACGTCCTCAGGGGAGACCAACACCGCCATGACAAACGCCGATTCCTTAGAAGAAGAAATGGCGCATGCACACTACATCGCCACCATTATGCCGAAGAGCATGAAGTGCGCATGCGCATCAAATGCACGCCATTTTGCCATGGATCGATGTCGCAGGGACAACTGTTAATGTTGTCCAGGACATTACTTAATATAACAACAAGTACTGTATATACCAGGAAAAAAACGGAGAGGAATATAAAGGGGCAACTATTATAGCAGAAGTGAAACATGGTTATTAATGAAGGGTTAGTGAAGAATTAAGTAGTAAAATATATATATTTTATATCGTCAAAATGCTGAATGATTAGTCTAATTAATTAATAAACTTTGATCTAATAGATATATATTAATCATGTTGATAACACACAACTAATTGGCTGTGATATAAATACAGTTAGGTCCATATATATTTGGACACAGGCACAATGTTGATTTTTTTCAGGTATTTACCAAAACATATTCAAGCTATAGGTATAAAATGGATATGGGCTGAGAGTGCACACTCTCAGGTTTAATTTGAGGGTATGTACATCCAAAGTGGCTTTTCTATTCTTCAGGCTTATGAAAGGTTTTCACCTCGTGGTGAACCCTCTGTATTTGCTCTCGTGAAGTCTTCTCTTGAGTGCAGACTTTGACAATGATACGCCCACCTCCTGGAGAGTGTCCTTCACTTTTCTGGATGTTGTGAATGGGTTTTCTTTACCATAGAGAGGATCCTGCGATCATCCACCATCGTTGTCTTCCGTGGACATCCATGAATTTTTTATGTTGCTGAGCTCACCAGTGCATTCTTCTTTCCTCAGAATGTACCAAACTGTTGATTTGGCCACTCCTAATGTTGCTGCTATCTCTCTGATGGATTTTAGTTTTTGAAGCCTTACAATGGCCTGTTTCACTTGCATGGACAACTCCTTTGAACACATGATGTAGGTTCACAGCAATAGATCCCAAATGAAAATACCACACTTAGAATCAACTCCATACCTTTGACCTGCTTAATTGATGAATAAATAATGAAGGAGTAGCCCACACCTGGCCATGAAACAGCTTTTGATTAAATTGTCCAATTACTTTTGGTCCCTAGAAAAAGGGGGGGGGGTGGCTAATCTTAAGAGCTGTAATTGCTAAGCACTTCCTCCAACTTGGATGTACATACCCTAAAATTAAACCTGAGAGTGTGCACTTTCAGCCCATATCCATTATATAACTATAGCTTGAATATGTTTTGGTAAATACCTGAAAAAAACTAAAATTGTGCCTGTGTCCACATATACAGTCAGGTCCATAAATATTGGGACATCGACACAATTCTAAAATTTTTGGCTCTATACACCACCACAATGGATTTGAAATGAAACGAACATGTTGTGCTTTAACTGCAGACTGTCGGCTTTAATTTGAGGGTATTTACATCCAAATCAGGAGAACGGTGTAGGAATTACAACAGTTTGCATATGTGCCTCCCACTTGTTAAGGGACCAAAAGTAATGGGACAGAATAATAATAATCATAAATCAAACTTTCACTTTTTAATACTTGGTTGCAAATCCTTTGAAGTCAATTACAGCCTGAAGTCTGGAATGCATAGACATCACCAGACGCTGGGTTTCATCCCTGGTGATGCTCTGCCAGGCCTCTACTGCAACTGTCTTCAGTTCCTGCTTGTTCTTGGGACATTTTCCCTTCAGTTTTGTCTTCAGCAAGTGAAATGCATGCTCAATCGGATTCAGGTCAGGTGATTGACTTGGCCATTGCATAACATTCCACTTCTTTCCCTTAAAAAACTCTTTGGTTGCTTTTGCAGTATGCTTTGGGTCATTGTCCATCTACACTGTGAAGCGGCATCCAATGAGTTCTGAAGCATTTGGCTGAATATGAGCAGATAATGTTGCCCGAAACACTTCAGAATTCATCCTGCTGCTTTTGTCAGCAGCCACATCATCAATAAATACAAGAGAACCAGTTCCATTGGCAGCCATACATGCCCACACCATGACACTACCACCACCATGCTTCACGGATGAGGTGGTATGCTTAGGATCATGAGCAGTTCCTTTCCTTCTCCATACTCTTCTCTTCCCATCACTCTGGTACAAGTTGATCTTGGTCTCATCTGTCCATAGGATGTTGTTCCAGAACTGTGAAGGCTTTTTTAGATGTCATTTGGCAAACTCTAATCTGGCCTTCCTGTTTTTGAGGCTCACCAATGGTTTACATCTTGTGGTGAACCCTCTGTATTCACTCTGGTGAAGTCTTCTCTTGATTGTTAACTTTGACACACATACACCTACCTCCTGGAGAGTATTCTTGATCTGGCCAACTGTTGTGAAGGGTGTTTTCTTCACCAAGGAAAGAATTCTTTGGTCATCCACCACAGTTGTTTTCCGTGGTCTTCCGGGTCTTTTGGTGTTGCTGAGCTCACTGGTGCGTTCCTTCTTTTTAAGAATGTTCCAAACAGTTTTAATGTTTTTGCTATCTCTCTGATGGGTTTGTTTTGTTTTTTCAGCCTAATGATGGATTGCTTCACTGATAGTGACAGCTCTTTGGATCTCATCTTGAGAGTTGACAGCAACAGATTCCACATGCAAATAGCACACTTGAAATTAACTCTGGACCTTTTATCTGCTCATTGTAATTGGGATAATGAGGGAATAACACACACCTGGCCATGGAACAGCTGAGAAGCCGATTGTCCCATTACTTTTGGTGCCTTAAGAAGTGGGAGGCACATATGCAAACTGTTGTAATTCCTACAGCGTTCACCTGATTTGGATGTAAATACCCTCATATTAAAGCTGACAGTCTGCAGTTAAAGCACATCTTGTTTGTTTCATTTCAAATCCATTGTGGTGGTGTATAGAGCCAAAAATGTTAGAATTGTGTTGATCTCCCAATATTTATGGACCTGACTGTATATGGACCTAACTGTATATATATTTTACTACTTAATTTTTCACTAACCCTTCATTAATAACCATGTTTCCTTCTGCTACAATAGTTGCCCCTTTATATTCCTCTCCGGTTTTTCCTGGTATATACTTGTTATTATATTAAGTAATGTTCTGGGCAACATTAACAGTTGTCCCTGTGACCTCAATCCATG